GGCTGCGGAGGGTCCTCCTCCTCCTCACGGGGCCTGTCCGCTGGCCCGCGAGTCTCCCTGGCAGGAGAGGCCTCTCTGGGGACGCAGGCCTCCCTGGGGCCCAGTGCGCAGTCAGCAGGCCCGTGGCCCTGGGGAGCAGCGGGGGGGCATCGAGCCCGGAGTGTTGGGTGCTCCTGACACCCCGCAGAGACAGCAAAGGCCTGGGGCCTGGGCCGGTAGGCGCCTGCTGGGCCGCGCCTTTGCTGGTCCTTGAAGTCGGTCTCTGGTGGGCAGGCTTTGTCACTGACCCCCAGCTGGGGGCCACGGTCACGCCTCTGGGCATCTTGGCTGGTCGCAGACTCAGAAGGACTTGAGCCCCACAGGGGAGCACCGTGACTCGGGGGTGCCTGCACGTCCCCCTCCTTGGAGGCCAGGAGTCGCTTCTCTACCAGCTGGGAGGAAGAAGGGACAGTGACTGACGCTGCACACACATGTGTGTGTGTGTGTGTGTGTGTGTGTGTGTGTGTGTGTGTGTGTAGGAGGAGCGTGGGTGATGGGACAATGGCACAGGGGGGAGGAGGGGGAGGTGACACCGTGACTGGAATCCACCACAGTCATGTGTCTCTCCTCTGTCCCCTGTGCCATATTCTCAGCTTCCTGGCCCCTCCCTTTCTGGGTTCCCACCCCGTCCTCTCTGTAGCCCTCTCCTTCTTGTCATCCTGCCCTGCTCCCACCCAGGACTGGCCCCTTGGCATGCGGTGCCTGCAGGCAGGGGTGGTGTGGACACAGGCATGTGTGTCCTGGTCCTGGGCTGCTCCCTGCCCTGGTTTACCTGTGTGCACCCTCCCTTGGCTCTCTGAGGGCCCCCCACCACCGATCTACCTGGATCCCTCCCTCCCTGACTCACTAGGGTCTGTCCCTCCTCTAACTCCCCTGGGGTCCCTGGGTCCGATGGCTCACTTGGGGTCCCCCTCCCATCTCCCTAATGTCCACCCTCCCCTGGCTCACCTGGGCAGCAGTGAGCCCTTCCTCCTGCTCCAACTCCTCAGCTAGGGCCAAGGGATCCTGCTGTGCGTCTGGGGACATTATTTGTTCCATGAATTGGGGGTGAATGACCGCCTCCACCTGGGACAGAAGGAAGCGGCTGTGAGCCCCTTGGCAGGGAGCAGACTGGGAGTCAGCGGGGCCTGGAGCACAAGTGGGAAAGCCAAGACCCACCTGTCCTCCTGCTCAGGGGGGTGTTTTACTCCATCATGGTCATCAGGTGCACACACACACAGAAACACATACATGCACATACACACACACGGGTACACACACATGAACAAAGCACACACACCACACCCACACAAAGCGCACACATGCACACAGACACACATACTCTCTCACCCATCCAGCTCAGGAACAAAGAGCAGAGCCCAATCCCATCAGCCTGGGAGAACCCGGGTCTGGGTGCCGCAGCGCCTCCCTCTGGGACCGTATAGACCCGGAGCTGCCAGCCAGCCCACCTGGGTGACAAAGTCTTCCTGGGAGCACAGCTGGTCCAGGTAGCTCAGGAGACCCTCGTCCTGCAGCCACTCCTTTTCTTCATCTTCCCGTCCTCCACCTGGCGCCCCCATGGGCAGCTCATCCATGATTTCCATGTCCTCTTGCTCGGCCTCAGGGGGGGTCCCATTGCGGGACTCAGTCTCCCAGGGCGGCTGGGGTGTGTGGGCGCACTGGGCGCTGGGTACAGCCTTCCTGGTAGTGCGCGCTGGGCAGAGAGGGAAGAGGAGGGAGCGTGAGGGGATAAAGCTCCCACCTCCAGGGCATGCGCTGCTGAGGGCAGTGTTTGGGGCATTAATATGGGTGTGGCTGGGTCGGGCCACCTGAAGCCTGTGACTATGTGAGGGGAGAGGCCAGAGGGGAGCACCCAAGAGAGTCATGTGTGAGGACGTGTGGAGCCACCGAATCAACAAGGGGCCCTGCAGCCAGCCTGCTTCTCAGCAGACTTCATGTGGGGCCTTTGACAGGGAGCGGGGAGAGGGGATGAGAAAGTGGACCAGGTCCAGACCAAATGGGGACAAAGGCTCAGAGACCCTGCTCTCAGGGCTGTTTCCCTTGAAAGAACAAAGCCCCCCTGAAGGAGAAGGGCCCATGTGGGTGGGGACAGTGGCCTGCCCTAGGCCCTGTTGCCTTTGGCCATGGGCTCCCGTGGGAATGTGCTGGCCTACCTGGCTGCCTGCCCACCACTGGGGCTGGGGGCCCCCGAGAATCAGGTCTCGGTGGGGCAGCAGGAGGCTGGGTGTGCGCCCCCTTCTTCAACTGCAACTTCTCAAACTGCATCTGCTCCTCCACCTCAAACTCCATGAACCTGGGGGTGAGGGGGGCACAGCTGTGCTGAGAAGGAGGCCGCCGGGAGCCAAAAAAGGCAGCAGTGGGTGGAGGGATGGGAGAGCCAGTGTCTTGGGCCTGTCAAGGCCTGGACACTAGGGAGGCAGGAGGCTGGCTGAGCACATTCCTGCACAGCCCCTCTGGCTGGAGTCTGCCCACGGGGCTGGGCACCTTCTCCCCAGCCTGTCCTGAGCCTTCATGTCCAGCCCAGGACAGGTCAGCGTCAGAGGAGGGGGGAGCTCCCGGGAGGTGGGACAGAAGCACCCACACTCTGAAGCTGAGGGAGAGGCTTCCCCAGGAGAGAAGGGCCTCTGGGCTGCGGGGACCCCGTGCTGAGTGACACCCTTCCACCACCCTCCTCTCTGATGAGACCTCACAGCTGGACCCTGCCCCGCAGTCAGGCTCCCCACCCCCACCCCCAGCTGTGGGGACCAAGGACCCTGACTCACTTTTCTGCCATCTCAGAATAGACCCTCCGGTCAAAGTTGCTCTTGCGCTGCCATTTCTGCATGGCCTGCCCTATTCCCTCCTCCAGCGTCATGGTGGGCCTCAGGCGGGACAGGGACCGGAGCGCTGGCCTGTAATGGCTCAGGGTCAGTCATGGCTGCAGCCTGGCCTCCACCCGCCTGCCCACCCCAGCTCAGTGGTGCCAGGTTCCCAACCCCACCCGGCAGGACTGAAAGCTCCAGGCACAGCCCCTGCCCTGCCCAATGCACTCACATGAGGAAGCAGCAAAGAGCTCCCACATCAGGACTCTGGGGAAGGTGCCCCTGGGCCAGGGCCTTGAAGCACTGCCAACGACGGAAGTCCTCATACACACTCTTGGGGTTACAGGCGTCATCCAGCGAGGCCTTGGACTGGGAGGCGGCCAGGCCACCCTCCCTGGAAGCCCCATGTGGCTGTGGTCCAGGGTCCACTCGGGGGATGATGGGGGCCAGCTGGGCAGCTGGTGGTGGAGCTTGAGGAGGAAGGCCGGGACACCAACCTCCATTGCCGGCCTGGGTGCCCCCAAATGCGGAGGAGGACATAATCGTCTCCACCGCAGTGGCTTCCAAGAAGAGGGGTGCAGGACACACAGCACCCCCATAGATGGCACCTGGAGCACTCCCGTTGAGGGGGGCCTGAGTCAGGACAATGGTCTGAGTCTGGGAGGGCTGTGGTCGTCCCCCTTCTGACCTGACCTGGTCCATGATGTTACAAGCCTCAGGCCCAACGGGGCCTTGACCAGCATCTCCGGCCACCACAGGTGTCCTGGGCAAAGCGGGCAGCACCAGGGGGCGGCCAGGAGGGAATGACAGGATCCTGAGGGGCGGCAAGTGCTGCTCCCAGGGTGGCCGGTGGGTGGGGCCAGTAGTGGGCTGGGGAAAGTGCCGTGCCATAAAAGAAGTCATGGAGGCACTGGGCTTCAGGGTCACATCCGCTCCCAGCACTGCAGATGCTGTTGAGACAAAGGAAAGGGTGAAGGGAGGAGGAGAACCAGCAAACAGCACTGAGGCGCTCTGGGCCCCCTGTAGCCACTGGGGAATCAGAGCAGTGAGTCTCCCAGGGCAGGGCCATTGGGATGGACAAACTGCGGCTGTGGCACATGTCCTCAGGTCATTGTCACACTGTGACTTCCAGTTGGGAATTACTCCACTGGAGAGCTTGCTCCCCATCGCCAAGGCTCCCTGAGCACGGTCTGCGAGAAGAAACGGCCCCAGCCAGTGCTGACCCTGAGAGCCGCCCTAAGGATTCCCTGGTACCGACCCTGCCAGCCTCATGCCTGGCCCTGGGCAGCTGTCTGCTTTGGGGGCAACGACCCCAGGCAGACCCACTCCGGTAGTAACCTTCTCCAAGGTAAGCTCTAGGCACCCAAAGGGCCTCTGAGAACAGGCCGTGTCTAAAATATTAGGGCCCCATCTGCTCCTCAGTCTTCCTTTTACTCAATATAAATCACCCCTTTTCTGTCCTGGGCTTGCACAACAACACAGAAACCCTTGAGTAATGTCTCCCCACAAGAAGGCACAGGGACCCTGATCTGACCCTTGAACGCACTGACCAGCATGCACATGTGTGTCAGAACCAACAGTGAACACCCAACATGGGCCAGGTCCTGCCACTCGGCCCCAGCGCTCAGACTAATGGCTCCTCAGGAGCTTGTCATTTCACAGCCAGCATTGGCTACAGAGGGTTACAGAAAGGCCAAGGAATGCGGCAAAGTGGGGCTGTTGGTAGGGGTTTCCAGAAACTTCCATAGCTGCTGTCCTGTTAGATGGGTCATGGGACTGCAGACTGTGTGAGGTCCTTCCCCTTCCAGCTCCCAACAGTGGAAAGTGAATGCCCAGTAGAAAGCAGGTGTGAGCCGGTGACTGTGGGACACAGTTGTCTGAACACGTCCCCGCTCAGAGGAACTCAAGCAGACCTAGTCCAGGAGAGCACGCTGCACACCACGTGCCCCTAATTCCTCAGGACAGGCGGCCTCGGACGTTTACTACTGACACAGACTGTGGTCTTCCTGCCCCTGTTCACTCCCCTTCCCCCTTTATAAAGGAATCTGCCTTCACAGATGTTCCACGGACACCACCCAGGCTCCACATCTGTTTTCTGTCCCTGAAGCAGGGACATGGACTCTGAGCAAACCCCTCATCTCAAAGGTAAAGGGCAGGGCAGAGGGTGCACCATGAGATACAGGACAAGAGAAAGTAGGTCTGAATTCCTGGGTGGCCACAGGGTGAATGATTCGGGACAGCTCAGGGAGGCGGGCCGCCATGCCCCTGTGGAATCCAAGCCAACAAGCAGCTCCCTGGGCTGAGGAGGAGTGAGCTCTGGGGCCAGAAGGAGGGGAGAAGCTCTGCGCTCCAGCAGTTGGAGGACCTTCCAGCCCAGCCCTCAGGAAGGACATTTCATTGTGGACTTGGCCACAGACAGCCCCACTGGACAGCTTTCTGGCTAAGACCCTCCCACAGCCCCCAATAGCTCTAGTGAACTCAGGTCAAGTCCCTTAGAAAGATACTGTGGGGCAAGCTCCAGCTGCCCGAAGAACAGCACACAGGACTAGGCTTTCCCGTGACCCTCCCTGTGCGACCCCCACGACATCGCCCACTACTCCCCCCACACACGTGGCAGTGGCTTGTCTCCCCTCTGGGAAGAACCCACGTGCCTGCTGCCGTCCTTTCTCCACACCCAGGCATTTCCCTGAGCCACCCTGACCCACCTCTAGGAGCCCTCCTGCCAGTGCCCTCACAGGTTCCCATGGGTCCCAGTCTCCCTGGGTGACAGGTCCTTGGAGGTCCAGTGCTCGCTCCCTCCCCTACTTCAGTCAAACCGTGTTTCCCCAGTGTCACAGTTTAACCCCAAGTTTTGAGGGACATCTCAGTGTTTAAAACATCCCCCTCCAATCTATAGTCTTACCTCCTACTGAAGCCATCCCCGCAGGCTCATTCACTGACCACTGCTGCCTAGTAGCCTCCACAATGAGAAAAGTCAAGTGGAGAATCCAGAGAGTGAGCTGCTCCAACAGCTGCTCAGCATCCAGTGGAGGGAAGGTTTGGATTTGAACTGTAGAATGTAGGGCTCCAGACCTTCTGCAGCGGGGGAGGGGCCGAGGACCAATGGGCTGGGGTGGGGGTGGGGGGGCATTCCATGGAGGGCTCTGATAGGTAGGCGAGAACCAGCAGTTCCTTTCAAATTTAAACTCACAAATTTAAAGACACACTAGCAGTAATGACCTTCTCTAAGTTCTAGGCACCCAAAGTCACCTGATGGGCCCTTTATTTCAGTTCTTGATCCATCACCCTAGTTCTGGGTCCCTTAACCTGCTTCCTATTTGGTCTTGGTTGACTTCAACACAGACTACACTTTCTGAACAAAATCCAGAGCATGCAGCCTGAAGAAATAATGGCAACTATGGCCACATGGAACCCCGTGTTTGAAATTAGGACTGACCCAGCAGAGGCAGCATGCTCGGAGGCTGTGTGCACATCATTCCTTAGGAAGCAGACCCATGGCCCCAAGTGCCGCCCAGTGCTGGGAGCCCTGCAGATGCAGCCGCCCAGCCTTACAAACCATCCCCTTTGCTCCAGTCCATCAGGGCAAGGCCCTGTAGCCTACAGGGCAAGACCAGAAATCACCACTTTTTGTTTCTCAGAGTTTTATGTTGTTCAATGTCTAATTTTTTACTCTTTGAGTGATTTTAATGTACTGTTTTAAGCAAGTAATGCCTTTGCATAGTTCACAAATTGTGCAAAATGGAAAATGTAGTGAGGAGTCTTTCTCCTGCCTCCTTCTCCTCTTGCAAATGACCGGAGAGATGATGCTATAATTTCAGTTTCTTTGGAAAGTATGACAAACTCAAGTCAGTAAGTTGATTCTGCTACTATATATACGTTCTATTGCCAACTGCAATTCTGCAATATAATACAAAAAAGGAGGGCTGGCAGGGTGACTTTGTTCCCATGCTACCTGCCATGTCAACGGAAACTGGCCCAGACAGTCATGTCTTCATCAATGTTAAAACAACAGTCTTGCAACGGAAACATCTGTTAAAAAAAACATTTATTGAAAACCCCCACGTACTGAATAAATACAGGAGGAACGGGGTCAGTGGCAAGCGTCTCTTAGAGTGTGTCCAGGTCTAAAGTTCTTGGCCAGAATTGTGCAATGCAGTGCCCAGACTTCTGGGAGGAAGGACCTACTCTCTCTAGAAACCAGGGACCTGCAGTCCAAGGGCATGAAGGCACTCGCCCCTCCGAGGACAGTGCTTCAGGCCGGCCTCTCCCAAACTCTGTCCCGAGGGGCAGCCAAGTGCATGGACTGCACGTTTGCAACTTTAAAGTCGCAAGTGCTCCCTGCACACGCGCTGGGAGGTTCCTGGGAGGAGGACCTGCAGGAGGCCTCACAGGGCCCCTCCCTCCCCTCCTTCCTCTCCTGCTGGGACAGCCTGGGCCCTTCCCAGGGTGCCTCGCACCAGGATGCACGAGCACGCCCACTGGGGGCGGGACTCTGTCCCGCAACTGCTCCCAGCGTCCGTTGCGGCGGTTGGCTCCCACAGGCGCGCGCATGCGCTAATGGCAGGCGGGTCCCCAACGGCCGCCCAGGCTGCACCCGGGGCCTGGCATGGCGGCCTCCGGAGTCCGTTAGGCAAACGGGGAGGTAAGGGGCGCGCGGGAACCTCTCCTCTCAGGCGCCCCCTCTTCTCTGTGGTTCTCCCCGTGGGCTCTGTGCCCCGGGTCTGTGCTCAGCCCCCACCCTCCCATATTCTGTGTGTTTTCACCGGGAATTGACAGCAACTGCCCGTTGGGGGTCAGTGATGGGGGGCCTACACGGCCCCGTGATGCCTGTGAGCGTCCAACTCGGGGTCGGTCTGTGTCCCCCGCTTTCTGAACAGCGCGGCTCCCGGCAGCTCTTCCGCCTCTGACAGCGCCTCCGGTTCACGCTGTGTCTGCGGGCGTCTGGCCACGGGGCGGCCATGCCTGTGTCTGAACGTGCAGGTGGAGGCTGCTTTTGGAGGGTGTGGAGGTGTATATGCCGGTGAACATTAGTGTCTGTGCGGTTTGGTGTGGGGGGTGTGGCTGTGTGTTCACAAGATGGGAGAGTGAATTCTGGGGAATTTGGGAGGGGTTATGTGTGCGCAGGTGTGTCTGTGGCATGAAGTGTGTTAGGACATACGTATGGGGAGACAGGTGTGCATGTTTGCAGGGCACGGGGTATTGGGGGGTCTGTTTGGGGCTTGTGGAGAGTGTGTGTGTGGAGTTGACTGTGTGTTCCAGGGCCATGGCCGGGCAAGGATGTTTGCTGGAGCTCCGTGTTTGCATTTTTCAGTCGGGCCCTAAGGCTTACATATTTTGGGAACCGAGGGTGTGAGTATTTGAGGGAGAGATGGTTTCTGTGCTTATACAGGGGATGGAGGATGGTATCTATGTACGGGAGGTGTGTGATACGGTTATTTGTAGTGTTTTTGGATGTGAGAACTGACTCATTCAATAGGGGTAATTTGGAATTTGGAAGTTGTTTTATATGTGGTTTTCTGGAGATATTTCTGCATGCCTTGCCCATGTATACTGGTCGGTGTTTATATCTATCACCAGGTGCATGAATTGTCAGTCTGCTCATAGGTTATGGGGTTGTTAGGTGTACTTAAAGTGTATCTCTTTGGGGAGTGCTAGTGTTTCTACATGTATTTAGTAGCCAGTAGAAAGCAGTGGTCTGTAGATCCAGAGAGAGGATAGAAAAATATATATATGGTGACCTTTTATTACATACTAGAGGCCCAATGCACGAAATTCATGCAAGGGCCTTGGCCCCAGCCCCGGCTCCCCGCCACTGCATCCGGGGGCCTCTGCCACCTCTGCCACAGCCCCACCCGCTGTGGCTTATTTCGGAAGGAAGGACATCCAGAAGGATGTCTGGTCTAATTAGCATATTAAGCTTTTATTATTATAGACTGAAGAGGAGAGATAATGAGGTTGTATTCTAGAGATGTGGAATAATGTATAGAGTTTGAGGGATCTATATGTTCAGGAATTGGGAATTTTTGAATGCAAGTATGTGAGAATTGTGTATGCATATTAGTGAGAATTAGGGGATTGTCAGTGTTTTTGTGTTTTGCGTGTATCTATCCTTGTGTGGGGGGTGTATATTCATGAGTGATTTGAGGGTATATGTATTTGGGATTTGT